CGGCCTGGGCTGGCCCGACGCTGTGCTGTGCGCTACCCCAGGAACCTGGAGCCTTCCAGATCCGAGATCAGTACGCTAACGCGTCCATCTCTCCTCTGGACCCGGCGCGGACAATTGTGCCGGGTGGCAGAACTGGGCCTCTGGGGAAGGAGCGCACGCGTCCTGGTCCTGGGTGAGGCCGGTGTGTCACGCTTGGGGAGATGTAGGTCCCCCCAGGCTGCTGTGCCAGGTCACTTGAGGATGACCGGCGGTGCGAGGCCACGGACCGACGGACGGGGTCGCTGTCGGGCAGCGCGGCGCAGCTGGTACCCTGCGGGCTCTGCCCAAAGCATCATTTGCTCGCCAGTGCTCTCCAGACCCCAAGGCTGCCGTGAGAGGGTTCAGGAAACTTGTCTCTGCATCCGGCCACAAAGCAATACGTTGGGGTGAAGGGGAGACGGCGCTAAGAGTCCAGAGTCACGGTTTCAGATCACGCTTTACCTACCTGTGACTCCAAGCTCATTTGGACAGGTTTTGATTTTTTTTTTTTTTTAAAAAACAAAACGTTTGGCCTGGATGACTTCGTGGCCCTCTGAGTCCTCAATTCTACCCCCTATATGTGCACATCACTTACAAATCCAAATAGCAAAGCCGCCAGGAGCATCCTTTTTGGCGACAAGAACTATACATACACCGTGTACACTTGTATAATGTGCCTTCCTTTTCAATTTAACTAGGTTCACCATGGGTTACACATTTAATTTGTACTTTTACTGCCTGACAAGAAAAGCTGGAGTCAGTTCTTAATCCCTTCATTAAAAAAATAAATGAATAAGAGGAGAGCATCTTCAACTGTCTATATTTGCCACAACTGATCTTAGGGGAACTGGGTTTATTCTCACAAACACAACCTCTGGGTGTAGAGAAGTCTGTGAATTGTCGAAGTCAGAGCACAGGTACTGACCATGCTTCTGCTCAGAACAATCCGGCCCTCTCAGCACGAAGGGTGGTGTGTTAGGAGCCCCGTACTTTAATTTTTTTTTTTTTAACAAAAGCAATTACAGAAAAGTGCACATTTAACGTGTGACATTTAACATTTTGCAGTGGCAGGCAGCCTCCACTTAAATGGGGCCTTTCTTCGGAACAACAGGAGCCAAAAGGCCTTGTGTCATGGAGTAATGTAAGACACAATCTGGGCTGCAAACGCACAATGAATCGGGAAGGATTTATGTAATTAATTGACCAGTCTTAACCTGTTATCGTGATGTAAGGAATTTGGAACTCATTAATTTGGGCTCTGACAGATTTCATATTAGAGCTGGCAAATATGGATTGAGCCTCTTATTCTTGTAGCAGCTGGAATTTCCATGACAGTGAGGGTTACCGAAGAAGACCTATTGCTAGAGTCAAACTGCTCTTTTGTAATCAGTAGCCCTGCTTTGCATTAAAGGGATAATGAAAAAAAAAATTACCTGGCATGGCAAGTGGAAGGGCCTGAGTTTACCCTGCTGCTGTGTGTGGTGAGTGCAAGCATTTGTGGCTGAATGAAAATAACTAATCTCAATCTTAAAGTTAGGTGGTTTCTCGAGTACCCTGAGATAAAAGCTGGAAGAGTCTTGGAGTCGAGGTTCCTTTTGCTGTCAAAGTTAGGAAGGAATAAAAATTGGGAGCCTTGGAATCTCCTCCATGTGGACAGGGACTGCATGATAAAGGACTTTCCAGGGACAGTCTGGGGTTCTGGTATTGCCTGCCCACAGATGAGCAATTCAGAGCCCCGAAGGAGACTGGCTCTCCCAAGACCCACTTCCTGTCTCCTGGTCGGAGCTCCTTAGCTGACCTCAGAAGGCCCAGGCATTAGTGCATAATTTAATCTGGATTCCCTACCCACTGATGTTTAGTGAGTCACCCATTTGAAAGCATCAGCTTCTTTGTGATTTTACAAAAACCCAGTAAAAGCCCGACTTCCATTTTTTACTCTGCTTGACAGTCAGAAAATTGCTAGGTTAGAAAAAGGTCCCTGAGATTAAACGGAATGTTTTTCCCCTTTCTTGCACATTAGGCCTTCCTTATTGCTCTGCTGTGTGATAAGGTTAATACAACAACTGCCATAAGGATCATTAATACAGGAAGATAAGCAAAGTTGCACATTTAAAACGTTTGCTGGGATCATTTGCCTCCTTCTGCCGATAAGGAAGACTTTGCTAGCAAATCTAGAGCAGAGGCCCAGGATACTTAGACCAAAAGTCCCATTGACCTTTCCTAATGCATTATTATTCATAAATGCTCTTCAGAGTTGAGTATTGATTGCTCTTGAACTTTGTTTGTAATTGTCACCTTAAAAACTTCCTGCCATTATAACAACTTACGTTTTAATAGGACAAACGTGGTTAGTAAATCTTGGGAGGAAATGAACCGGTTTCCATTCCTTTCCCCCTGTGTTTTTGCTGTCTTGATTCCAACCAATGCCACAGTGAAGAATTTTAGTTCGGGCTAGTAGGGTTTGATCTATCAAAGTACTCGGTGAGAAATTTGTTTGGGACGGCCTCGTTAAGGAGTGATTTCTTCAACTTTGTTCCATTGAAATGAATGTGCAGTGGTGAACACTCGGCATTTGCGTCAATAAATTAACGTCATCCTTCACACTGAGCAAGAAGAGTTAGTAGTTGTGATTGGTATTATTATTTCAGTGGGACGGCAATGAAGATAAACAACTGATAGCAAGGCTTAGGCAACTGCACAAACCTGACAGGCTATTAATAGTGTAGGTGAACACACTGGAAGTTTATGCACACCATCTCAGATTTCTTATAGGGATTTCGTTTCTTTCTTTCTTTCTTTTTTTTAAACAAAGGGAGATGCATGTGTAACTTGACAATCGTGACGCTATCAACTCTGTGTATTCTCTTTATGTAAAGCAGGAGTATAGAACCGACAGACCGATGTGCAGGTAACTAGACACAATGTTGATGTGGAAGCCTGGTAAACCAGATTCTGGCTCGGTTGCCGGATTGTACCCAAGGGCAGTTCCCAACTCCTCCATTTCCACATCAGTGTTACAGGAAATCCGGGTACAGAGTGTCCTGTGGATGTCCCC